TGGGGGTGGGGGTGGGGTTGGGTCCCTTTAAGCACAGCCCTCGGTTAGCCTGAGGCAGCAGCTCCACGCTCTAAGTCCTCATCTGATGCCCTGCCGGCACTGCTTCCGGCCAGCCTTAACCCCGGTTCAGGGTCCACTCAGTGTGGACATACTAGTTCGAATTAGCAAAACGCTAATTCGAACTAGTTTTTTAGTCTGGATGCGTTAGTTCGAATTAGCGCTGTAGTGTAGACATACCCTATGAGAATAGGTCTGTAGTTGTGTCTGTGTTGTCGCTCAGTGATGTAGGCTCTCAGTGCTGAAGTGTTCTCAGTTAAGATGGCCTTATGGTCAACCTGTCTTTCTCTGGAAAATTACCACAGGCTGAATCTCTCTAATCTGGCTCCCTTTGGACCTGACTGGTGCCAAACCAGAGAATTTGCCAAATCCCAGGAGGCCAGTATTGTCTAGCTTCATTACCAAAGCTTCCACTGCTTACTGGATTATTAGAAGACATGTAGGGGTAAATTAGAGCTAAATAGCAGCACAGAACACTAAGAGCCAGGACTGGTGGCTGTAAACAAACTTAATGGGACCGTGGGAAACTTGGTCACACCCAAGATAAGCGGACATCAAGCTAACTGACCAGAGAATGCCAGACTAGAAAAGTTCAACCTATAGTCTTATAAAGCAAGTTTCAAAGATATTTTAACCCACCTCTGCTGCTTTGAGGTACTCTGTTGCATGTATTTTTCAGTATTATCAGCTGTACACCTATTAAATAAAAGTTCCAAAACACTTCATTCATATGTGCACAAGTGATAGTACCCAAAAATGGATGCGTAAGTGTTGGTGCCTGTGTTACATACTCAAGACTAAGTGTATTGTTTAAAACTGGAAATTTTATTAATACAATAATCAGATTCAGGCAAACCCAGAGCTTGTAAAAGCTGACTAACAGTCGTGTATTCTGGAAGTATTCTTCTGCTACCACCCTTTGACTTCTTCAGTACAGTTCCTTGTAGTATTGGCATTCCATCCTCTACTTATAAAAAGTTAAAGTAATACTGAAATATTGTAACATACATATTCTAACTTTTAAGTGCTATACCTGCAATATGAAATCCACTGGCCCAGGTGAAGGCAGCTTTGTAAAATGAAGACCAAGTGAAGGCCCCTTTGTGGTTATGTGTTGGCTTTTCAAAGAAACTACAATGTTGAGAATATCATTCTACCATGTAATAATTAGCCAAAGATTTTACTGTCTATATTTGTCATTTTTCTTCCTACTACAGCTACAGAAGTGCCTTTTTGAGCTTGTCCCAGTTTGATAAATTGTGCATTTTAACAGCAACTGTCAGGAGAATAAATTAGGAGTTACAATATGGAGATGAGGGTAGGAAATATCTCAACAGAAAAACAGAGTAGAGGTGTGGCAAGAATTTGTTCAGCTGCCAACTAGGAGACGTGGGTTTAGGACTTACAAGGCTGCTTTAGTGTGTGATCATCAGAGCATACGCACTAGTTGGCAAAGAAGTACCAGTGGTATTTGTCTGTGCTCGTATGTTGACAATGCCACAGGCTGCCCTTGCAGATGGAGGAATCACGTGAAGCCAGTTGTGGGTCAGAAAAAAGAAGTCCTTTTCTCTGTTTATCATCCTTAATGGTCATTTCTAATATAAGGATAATCTTTTGTTTCATGGTCAGCAGTGGTCTGAAGACATCTTTGATGTTTCTCACTGGAGAGTTAATAATGCATAATAAATACCTGACACATAATGCACAAACCTCAGTGTGATTTAGTAATTGTTGTTCCATGGCTGTGTTAGATTTTTTTTTTTACATTAAAATGTACGGTTCTGTTTCTTCTCAGGAGCGCTCAGATCACGGGCTTTTTCAAAAACCGGCACTTGAGGGCAGTCAGGCCTTTACCGCTGTCTCCAGGTGCAATGATTCTGTCCTACAGCAATTTATAACTTATAGTCCTCAGGAAAGACTGAAAGGTATGTACTGTGCATCTTTGTTCATGCCAAAAAAGTGCTCTTTTTGTCTTCAGAAATCCACATCATCTAGAAAAACAGTTAATTAGAGTAAGTGCAGGCTATGTCGCTTTGAGGCTCAAAGATCTGCAGCGGGTGGGAGAGCTGACTCAGAAGTTGTGAATTAAATTCCTGGCACATCTTCCAGTTTAAGTAGCAGTTTCTAGCTCACTGCCCAACACATAAATTTGGATAAAAACAAATGATAATTGCAAAATATATATTGTCAAAATACTTATTTTCTATACATCCTTAATCGGTAGAGTGATTATTTTACAATGCAAATTGTCTAGTTTGTGTCCTATTTTATAATCCAAAAGGAAGTTCTACTATAACATAGTAGTCATAAGGTTTGCTATTTTAATTTATTAAGACTTAAAGTATGTGTAAGATTAGGTACAGACCCTTACAATAAAACACAATTAGAATATCCTATTTATATTACACATTCTAAACTTTGAAACTTTTAATTGGCTGCTATGTATGGCCCTGTCTCAATAAGGTATTTAAGCATATGTCTAACTTTTTCAGCATTGAGAAGTCTCATTAGGTGTTCTCATCCATTCAGTGGGATTACTCATGTTCCTAATTAAACACATCCTTAAGTAACTCAGTAAGAATCAGAATAAGGCCTGTTTTGGGAGTGGTATATTCTCTGAGGGATCCTAGCAGCAGAGATTACTAGCATTTGTCTTTTTGTTTTCCTCCTCCTTTGTTTTACATTTTTGAGAGGCTAAAGAAAGTAGACAGCTCACCACAGTGTGAGAGGAGAATGGATGTTTAGCTCTTGAGAAGACACCACAGACATGGGATGAAGGAAGAAAGAGATAAACCAAGGCATTGGAAGATTATGGGTGGTGTCAGTCAACGGGCTAAGGAGCACAATATTTAAATATTACTGAGAAAATAGTGAACTATCTTTGCATTGTGACTTAGATTTTAGAGAGACTTATTTAGTGAGATCAAATAAAATGCTAGACGGGAGAAAAGGAAACAAGACACATGATACCTAGAAGACGGTTCTAAATAGCAGAGCTGAAATCCTTAGGTAGATGTGAACAGAGTTTATGGCCCTAAAATGGTACAGTGCACATACATGTAACATGTATTTTATAGTTGAAATATTTGTTTAATTTAACCTCCTTACATGCGCATTCTATCAATGTAGCTCTTTTCTCTACCTCCACATCATTTGTTAGGCTTTTTACAGTTTCTTCTATAATAGGCTCCAATCATACAATGATATCTGCACATCTGAAATCCTACACCCCCACAAGGCCCCAGTGAACTTGAATGTGCTCATGTGTCTTCCTGCACTAAACAAGTTGCAAGATTGCAATCTTATATTGGATACAGGGATTTGTCTCTTGCTATATGTTGGCATAGTGCCTTGTCCATTGGGATTCCAGTCCTGAGCTGAAGCTCTGGATGCTACTAGAATGTAAAGAGTAATAAAAGACAGCAGAGAGGTCAATTCAATACTGTGCTTAATGCAAAAAATTAGTGGCAGAAGTTGAATTATGTTACCAATTGTCACAGCTCAGTTAATGTTTTCAAATAAGTTATTTCCAATACCAACCACTGCTCTACACGTAAGACTGTCCTAGAAATTCAACAAAAATAGATTGACTCTTGGCTTATTAATACTTTTTTAAAGGATCTTTTTTATTATACATGAGCAAGACCAAATGTAATGTCTGGAAAACAGTTGTTATAGCCAAAACATTACATTTTGTCCTGCCTGTGGATATTTCAGTTAAGGAGGGTTTTTAATCCAATGATGAAATGCCAATGTTCAGTCTATTTTTGCATGAATAATACTTGCCACCCACAGGTCCCTACTTTTCTTTCTTGCCAAGCTGTTGTACAGAAATAGCATTTTTAGAACAACCTCTTCGAGAAGCAGTACTTCAGTGCCAGCAATTTTACATTTCTGGTGCTGAAAGATTACTGGAATCTGCCTCATCAAAGTCTCCTTTGCATCCAAAAAATGATCAGGGCTTGCAGGAGAATTGCTGTCATATCTCTGGTTAAGAACTATTGTAAAAATGAAATATCTACCCTATAAGGCTTGGCTTGTTGAATCTTCATGGATGTACAAGTGTCTACATTTAGAAGTGTGTCATTTGTGCATGAAAAGATTGATACAGAAAATTGCCCTTACTATTTTACTTTTAAAATTTTGCATGCTAGAAAAACAATACCAGAAACTTTCCCTGCTCCAAATGACATAAAGCCTACAGCCCAACTGTCACAGTTACTGGACTTACCTGCACCGTTCCACCGTAGGTCTCTTAGAGTATGTCTAGGCTACATGGCTCCGTCGACAGAGCCATGTAGATGAGTTTACTAGACATAGGAAAACGAAACGGCTAAATAATCGTCGCTTCATTTACATAAAAATGGCCACCGCCCTGTGCCGATCAGCTGTTTGGTGGCAGTTTGGATGCGCCGCGGTCGACACAGGAAACCTTTGTCGACTGCTCCGTTATGCCTCATGAAATGAGGTTTACCGGAGCGGTCAACAAAGGCTTCCCGTGTCCACCGCGGTGCGTCCAGACTCCCCCGCTGTGCTGCCAAACAGCTGATCGGCACAGCACGGCGGCGGCCATTTTGATGTAAAGGAAGCGGCAATTATTTAAATCGATGCTTCATTTTCCTATGTCTAGTAAACTCATCTACATGGCTCTGTGGACAGAGCCATGTAGTCTGGACATACCCTTAGAGCACAGTTCTCTCACATGCCTGGCCTCAAACCAGATCTTCCCTCTGGGATTGGAATCCTGCAATTCTCCTATTCTCAGATCAGCACTTGGGCCACAACTCCCTGTAATTTAACCACAATTATTTTAGTAGATCTGATTTCTCTTCAGTACCTGCAGGCGCCATGACAGTGGTAACCAGTGACCATTCAGCCATCTTAAAGCAAAGGATTATTTATTTAGAATGAAAACATTTAAGAGAACCTGTTTTAAAATAATAAGCCCATCTGAATGCTGGTCTGCCTGCCAAGAGCTTACCATCTCTCTGAAGTTACTCTGGCAGGCCCAGCCAGTGGTGCTGAAAAAATCTATATAGAGGGGAAGCTAAGAGCTGTTGAATCAAACTATAAACTCTGCATATAATGGAAATTATTTCTAGCCTGCTATATGACATCACCTTCAGCATCCCTAGTTCCAGCACTTATGGGCCCTGCTTCTTCAGATTCTCTGTGCAGAGCCTCGTTTTAAGCCACCCCATCCACCTGGGACAGTCCTTGTCAGCTGACCTTCCTTCTCTCCTAAGAGGGCTTTCTAATAGTTTGGTGCTTTTTTTGTCGCTAGGCACACAGCCTAGCAAAACAAACCATACATCTTCATGGGATACAGGCTATAGGATCGTCAAAGCTAACAGCTGTCTCCATTGTCTTTCAAGCATATGCTCTCATGATTTTCTCTGGAAGCCACGATGTTGCCTTCCTGCTTGATTTCTAACTGCCTCTATTAAATGAGATGACTATATTCATAAAGGAAAGCTTAATAGCCCAATATACTGTAGTTTAACCTCATTGACCAGTTCACATGTATAATAATTTTCTGAATCCTATATTGGTATTCCTAGATTCTTACCTAGCAGCGCTGCATCTGCCACACTAACCTCAAATGTACTAAATATCAACCATTCCCACTGAATTCTAGTAGAGTAAATTTAATGAGAATTAAAGGGCAGTCACTACATTGCAAAGGGCATATGGTAACTTACAGCATGAGGCCCTATAGGGAGAGATTTGGAATTATAGATGAGCTTGTGGTATAGGTCACTTTGTCATAATAAGAGTAATGCTCTCTAGAAAGGAAAAAGGGCAGCTTGAAAAAATGAGGGAGTGAAAAGACACAGAGGAAGAAGTTAGTCTAGTCACTAGTTTTTCTCCGGAGATGCTCAGTATTGTGAGAACAGGAATGAAGGTAGCACAGAATGAGGAGAGTAAGGATGGGATTTATGGAAACATTCAGAATGGTGTGAGAGGAAAAGAGGTTGGCCAGAAACTAGTGATCACAAAAGGAGAAAGTGGCAGGGAAAGGACAGAGAAAAGGAAGGAATAATGGCAAAGAGTAACTGTTCATGGTCATAGATAGAGACTTTGGGAGAGAGGGAAGAATTGTGGTTTTTGATAAATCACAAATCAATATAGTGACTGAAGTTCTGAGTTAGGTGGCATGGTTCAGGACAGCTGTACCATTCATCCATATCAAATCTCTGAACCTTCAAGTTCAAGTCCTCTTGCCTTCAGCTATCTTCAGTTGGAACCCTGTGAATGCGACCACTCTTAGTAGCCAGGGTATAGCACTCCTGTGTGCCAACCATAGATCATTCAAGAGATCCAGTTGGATCTGGCTACATGAAAGACTTCACTTTGGTAGTTGTGATCAGTATGTTAATGCAGTGACATAGAACAGCCTTTCCAAACAAAGTATTGTTTAATCTCAAGAAACAAAGAAAAGAGGGTTGAACCCAGCAAACAGTCTGCACGTGTGTTTTATCTGTCTGACCTGAAGGTGAAGGACACCTAGCTTGCTCCAGAAACTCTAATGTTTGGGAGCTTAGGGAAGAACAACAGAATTAACCAGCACACCAGCAATCCCTGTCTCTTCCCCTCCATCTTCAGGAACAGACAATCAGTCACCTAGTCTGTCTCTGCCTTGTATCTCTTGAAACTGCTCAGTTTATGCAGCCTACTAGGGTGGGTCACAGAGAGACGTCCAAACAAAGATATTGTCAACATCTCTTCTTTTCTACTACATATTTTAGAGAGTTTGTCTGATTGTCTCTGATCAAGAACTCCTCTTAAACGGCAAGAGTTAGGACCACCAAATGCCACTTCTTCTTATCTTTACTTAAAGCAAAAGATTTGGTTGTGCCAGGAAAACAGGATGTGCCTGGAATGGGATTGCTTCTTAGAAGACCAAACAGAAAAGAGATAGAATCACCAAATCGAGTACAGTGCTCAAAACTGACATCACTGAGTGAATGTTGAAGACACTTGAACCAAGATGAGGTAGAAAAACAGGATAAAGCTTGGAATAGGATTGCTTCTTAATAAACCTTACAGAAAAGAGATAAAATGGAGAAATTTGGAGTAGTGCTTCATTTTGGCACAGCTAAATCAATGCTTAAGGTTTGAAAACTAGAAGAAAATGTTATTGGAAACCAAATTGACTTTAGCTCTTTATTGTTAAAACATAGCAAATAAGCATTTATAGGGATAAAGGGAAAAGTTACACTTGATGGAATTCCCATTTTTTTAAAAAGTATTAAACAGAAAATTTTAGCAGTCCCTTTTTTTAAGTAATCCAAAATAAAAATTACTTCATAAAAATAACATTATTTTTGAACAATAAAAATGTACATTTTCCTTTTATTTAAAAAAAAAAGAAACAAGTCCTTAATTGAGTTAAGGACCCAAGCAATGTTGGGTATAGTTTCCTATAATTATCAGTATAAGGGTCTTTACTAGAAGTGTGTCCTATCTAGGTGCAAATTAGCACATATAGAAAAGAACAGAATAACAAATGCATAAACATACACGCAATATTAATAAAATTCCTCATTCTTCACGTTGAGTCAGACCAAAGCTTGGAAAAAATGAGGAAGTTAGTGCAAAAACAGTAGAATTAGAGATACTGGCATGGTAGAAATTGAAGAAACATGGTATGAACATAGAGTGAAGGGCTAACATTAGTTGGAGACAGATATCAGATGAAGGAAGTGAGCCTCTCTGAGGGAGATGAAAAGAACGTGAGAAGAAGCAATAGGGTAGAAAGTAGAAGGGACTAAATTGAGAGGAGTGGGAAAGGTTGGAGGACACAGCAGCCATAAGAGCAGGGCTGCAGTACAAGGTGAGGCAGCAATACATGATGAACTGCAGGGAGAAAGCAAGGATTCAGAGAGCATGAGAGAGTGCATGGTTATGGATCTAGGCAAGCCTGAAACATGGAGTTGAAACTGGAAGGAAGTAGGAGAGAAGATGGGCACACACTTGGAGAGAGTTATATGGCGGGCAGGATTATAGCTTGATGAGTGAGGGAGAACACCTAGGAGGAGGAGAGCGAAGAGGAGTGCAAACAGTGGAAGGAGGATAAAGAGATGAGAAGAGGGTGTGTGTTAGTAGCAAAGAAGGTGAGAACTGTAGAGGATTCCCCTCTGCTGCAGTTGAGTTTACTATGCTGTACTTCTTCCAACCTCTATAATCACGTACTGTGACATCCACAGCAATTCTGTTAAACAATGGTTTTCTCAAGCGTTGTGACTACTTGGATACCTGTTTTGAGCCAAACTCATCCTGGTATAAATTGATCGTCATTAATGGCATTACAGGAGCAATTTAGACTATGATCCAGGAGGATTTCCTGCTTAGCCCTCCTGTCATGGGATAGTAGCAACTTTTCTTGTCTCCTGTTAAGAACAGATAAGGAGAAAGAGGAGGTGTCTGCAGAGAATGCACTTTGTTGTCTAGCTGGAAGGTAATAAATGTTGCCCTCAAACAAAATTTAAGCAGTTATACTTACTGTTAATTACATTAAAACTGTAGGAGGCAAGGCTATATGCATTCAAATTCAGATCCTTCACTGCACTTTACTATAAGCAGAGTTTAACTGAATTTATCTTTAAATGTGCATCTTCAAAGTGGCAAATCAACTCTTTGGAATTCCCAGGATGTGCACTTTCTGCTTCTTATGATTTAATCCCTCTTTGTTAGTTTAGGTATTTGTATAATTTGTGCATCACTTTAAGCCTTCAAGTTATTGATCAGTGAACTGGAGTAAGAGTTCTGCTACTACTTTGTTTAACCCTTTATAGTTTCAGAGCTGACGGTGTCTGACTATGGTAGTGGTGAGAATGAAGTGCCACCTCCCATACCCCCGCACCCAAGCGAGGAGCAGCTTTCTGAAGATTATAATCATAGGTTTGGATGTACTTTTTATTGCAGTTATTTTTATTATTTCTGGCTGGAATCAGTTAACAGTTCTCACTGATAACTGTGATGAGATTTTTCATTGATTAAAAGCACGGCTACTGTACATGTAAATAGATGTGGAATCTATACCATAATAGTTGTGGTCTCATTGGTGTTCAGATTTTTAAAAATGTTTTTATAATCCACTGTTTTTCAAGGAGTACCGTATATCCTATAATTTTTCTGTAACCTTAAACACATTAGACACAGGTAGATTCTTATTTTTTTTTTCATTCTGTTTTACTTCATGTATGTGAATTTCATTGGAATCTATTTTGTCTTTTTAATATGATGCTCTTTTATCTCAAAGGTGTATAATACACTTTCACTTACAAACTAACATAAACAAACAAAATCCTTTGTAAATTAATTAAACCTATGGGCCAGATCTCAGATGCTTTACTTTGTGATGATCTGTCTATATATCTCCTACAGATTGAGAAGGATATGAGAGATTCTTACTCTCATTTGTTTTTAAATACTTATGCTCACATGCCCTAGAGATTGTCAGAAAATGCAGTTACATCTAAATTGAAATGCTTTGCAAAATTGTCTACTTCACTAAAAATTCCTTTTGGGGAAAGATGGTGGACGGAAATTGAATTCTTGAAACACACTTTGCAACATTTTTGAATGAAAAATTTCAATCTTTCATATTGAAGTTATTTTTGTTTGAAATTATCTTAAATTTTGAATGATAGATTGTAATATAAAATCAAAATGAAAAGTTTTCATTGAGCTGAAACTGTTTTTGTGGAAGGAAGGGGAATTCTCCTCCATAGAGCATTTTGAAATTTTCAGGTTTCATTCCAATTCTAAACTGAACCAAATTTCCAATCTCAATCCTTTGTGAAACAGAATGTTGTTCCTCCACATGGGTTTATTTATGAGGCGCTTTTGTGGAACAGCAATGGGTGGTGGTGGTCTTTTTAAATGTCATCATTCAAATAGATTGTTGACATGTCAAAGAGAGTGAAACAGGTGCAGAAGCTGCATTTTGTGCAACCTATTTGGTAAACAGTTCAGACAGGAGGCAGTTAAATAGAGCTCAGCAGAAGGGAAAACAAGACTATTGGCACTGGATATTTCCCCTTCTGTTCTGTTAAATAAAATCATATTTAAATATTAAGTGTGTAAAAACAGCAGTTATCTTCACGAAGAATCAGTATTTAAATATATATAATTAAGTACATGTGAGTAGAGGTGCTAAATCTCACAAAAGAAACTTGACAATCAGAGACTGATTTAAGATGCATGACTGCAAACAACTGGAAGGAAAAATACATTTATACTGTGAAAGTTTTAATTACCTCACTTCATTTTGCATTAGTGCTTAAATATTTTGCATGGCTTTTTCCACAGTTCTGTAGTGGACTCAGCAGCATATTTAACAGATCAGAACTTCAGCTTCAGATCCTTGACACCAGCCAAGCAGCCTGAATCAATTAATCTGAAAGCCTCCAAAAGCATGGATCTTGGTAAGGTGATGGGAAGGGAGGTCATCAGGTCATCGTTTTAGTCTTAGCATATTGCAGTGTCTCCTTATTTTCTGTGTGTGTTTCATAAACATGTACATAAGTGAGCATGTTCTATGTAGAGATGGCATGGTAGGAACAATGGACTGACTCCTATAACATCCAACTAAATTACCATTTCTATAAAAGTTTAATTAAGGATATTTTTCACCAAATGTCGTTTTGTTGCCATGCATTATATTTAAATCTCAGCTGAGGAAAAGAGCTTTTGTGAAAATGGGCCATCAGAATTGCCGGAGTTTTATCTTTAAATAATCCGTGCATGTCTAAATCTGTATCAGAACAATAAACATGTTATTTTATGTTAGAATTTAGATGATGGCAAAGCTGCATTAAACAACAGCTGACTTTAAGACAAGTTACATATTTCATCATTGACAATAAGTTGAACAAAGAAAACATTGCAGTAGATTTTTATAGATGCTTGTATAGGAGTACGGTTATGGTCCAGTTCCCATCCAAGCTCTGGAGAAAATTTTTGCAGTGTGGGTAAAACTTAGAGAGAATTGTTTTCACATTAGCAAACTATTTTTGATGAGGGATGTTTTGTTATATTTTTACGCAAATACTTTTATGTGATAAAAGTCCCAAGGGTTTATTACAGGTGAAAATTGAGTTGTATTTTAGTGGTAGTAAGAAGAAAAGTCTTTTAAAATTCAAAGAATCAAGAACCAAGTGAAATCTTTATATTCTTCTGTGTGGCACATCTCACTCTTTTTCTAGATATCTTTATCGCTCCAGAGGAGCTCTGGGAAAACATTCCCTTGGAAACGCCTTTTCTATTTCATGGGACACTCCTCTCCTTTATGCATTCCCTCGCTTTCCCCTCCTACACAAAGTCCTCAGCAAAATCAGGGTGGACCAGTTGCGAGTCATATTAGTAGCACCTGCGTGGCCCAGACAGACATGGTATCCTTACCTTCTCAGGATGGCGATGATGGAACCATATCCTTTCCCACTCCACCACGACTCCTGTCACAGAATCATGAGAGGACTCTCCACCCAGACCTCCACAAGCTCCATCTCCACACCTGGCTCCTTCATGTTTCAAGGATGCCGAGATTGCCTGTTCGGACCCGGTGAAAGAGATACTAATTAACAGAAGAAGACAATCCACCAGAAGGACATACTTGTACAAATGGAATCGATTTTCTCAATGGTATAATTGTTTATACACAACACGCCCAGAGTCTAATCCCCTTCCTATTCTGTTGGACTGCTTATTATCCCTGAAACAGTCGGGCCTCACCCTCAACAGGTCCACACGGCAGCCATAGCTGCTTTTCATCATCCTATCAATGGGTTTTTCTTCCTCGCTAACCAGTTAACTAAACGCTTCCTCAAAGGTCTGCAAAACATCTTCCCACCCATCTGTCCACCGGTTCCCGTCTGGGATCTGAACCATGTTCTAAAAAGCTTGACAAAGCCACTGTTTGAACCTCTAGCCACCTGATTTTGGTCTCACTTGTCCATGAAGGTGTCCTTTCTGGTCGCGATAACCTCCGGCAGGAAGGTGAGCGAACTCACGGCCTTGATGGCTGATCCTCCATACACAGTGTTCACAAAGGATAGAGTGATACTCTGACCCCACCTGAAGTTCCTCCCCAAAGTTCCTTCCGCCTTCCACATTAACAAACCCATACACTTACCTGCCTTCTTCCCAAAACCACATGCTGACCCTGTTCAGGCTGCATGGCGCACACTCGACATCTGAAGAGTACTGGCATTTTATGTCAATCGAACTAAACCTTGGCAGGCCTCATCTAGGCTGTTCTTCTCCTATGCTGAGAGATCTAAAGGGCAGGCAGTCTCATCTCAGAGAATTTTGAAATGGATCACCTCCTGTATTCGAACTTGTTATACTTTATACTGCAAACACTTACCTAAAACAATCATGGCTTACTCCACCAGGGCGGTGTCTTCCACAACTGCCATTCTTAGCAATGTTCCTCTTCAAGACATTTGCAACACCGTCACTTGGTCATCTGACCACACATTTGTGCAACATTATGCATTCTCCTCTTCGATTGCATCTTCCATGGTGGTGGGACAAGCAGTACTATCCACAGTGACTACCCCACGGCTCCAAACCCACCTCCGCGAGCCGACAACTGCTCTGTAGTCACCCAGAGTGGAGCATCCATGGGGACCACTCAAAGGAGAAGAAAGAGTTACTCACCTTGTGCAGTAACGGTAGTTCTTCGAGATGTGTCCCCGTGGGTGCTCCTTTATCCTCCCTCCTTCCCTGCTTTGGAGCCTTGTTCTCTAGCAGGTAGAGAAGGAACGGTGAAGCCGCACCACGCACACGCCTAATGGATTCCAATGGCACCTGCGTGGCGCGGCAGAAACTGCTAGAAAAAGTCTCTGGTCGCCAGTGCAGAGCCGCACCACGCACACACCTAATGGATTCCAATGGCACCTGTGTGGCACGGCAGAAACTGCTAGAAAAAGTCTCTGGTCGCCAGTGCAAGGATGCACCAGCACCCAGAGTGGAGCACCCACAGGGATACATCTAAAAAAAGAACCACCGTTACCGCACAAGGTGAGTAACTCTTTCTTACAACCACAAAAGCTTTCAAGGCTCATTTTGCCAATGTTATGATACCACAGGTACTGGGAATTTTGTGCAGTTCTGTATATCGTTGCTATTTAGCTGAGAGGCTTGCTTGTGAAATATGATGAAATGTATTCCTTTGCCCACCTTTGAGAGTTTACATCTCACTAGTCATCAAGGCTGTTAATATTCTGATGCTTTCAAAAGTTTACTAGAATATGCTTTGAAATGATGCTGTATCATATCCTTGTTATGTTCCAGTGTTCTCTTTGTGCTCAAAGCCAGGTATTACTTAATTGTAATTGCAAAGAAATTGGGGCACTGGTATTAGTCATCCACAGAAAGTTGCAGACACTCACTAAAATGTGAAAATCTGTAATAGTAGGTTGGATTTCTGTGCAGTCATTTTATTAAAGTATATTCTTTATCCACCGTTAGCTTTTATTGAACACACACAAGTATCTATACAAGATGGGCTATATGTAGGAATCTGCATTTTACTTGTAACAGGGAGACATCTTCCAGATATAAACCCATAGTCTACTTCAGCTCCTTTTTGTTGCTTTTTCACTTGCAATTCCAGCCACAGTCTTCTCTGCAGTTACCCAGGTGTCACTGATTAGCCCTGTAATTGGAAATTAGTAAACAATTCTACAGATGACACAAGAAAAAGCAGAGCCTAGCTCACTTCCTCTTATCTGGTTTGCACTGTGCAGCTAACTAGTTTATAAAATAATAAACCCCTTTTTGTCTCTAATAAGAGTGAATATTCTTACTTAATAGAATGAGCAATTCTACTGAGTAGGAATACGCTATTGTTATATCCTCACTTTTCAGAATAGTATCACGCTTAAAGCTATCATTGTTTTCCCTTCACATCTACTTTTGTGCAGGTCAGAAAATCTTTGTGGAACACCAGTCTGTTTTTCAATTGTAGCAATACAAATTAAATCATTACTAATACCTTTAATGACTGATGCTTAATATAAGAAAATAAGAGGGAATAATGGAATACTATTGGGGACTTGAAATACAGCATCGTGTCATTTTCAATCTACTCAGCACAGTTGAGGGAACTGCACACATGAAGGTGGAGTTAGGTTACTTATCTACTGATATTTTACTGTATTGCCTTCAGCTAGTTTCGGTCTCCAACACTGATTGTACACAGGGGCAGAAACTAAAGAGGTTGGGTTCTGGTACCTGTTTTTCTAGCTGCGGTCTCTGTAATACACATACAATGAGTCATGTGGTCTCCATCAAGGTTAACAGTGATTCTCAGGTGCATGTGGTATACCATAAGAGCTCAAAATTAGACTCTATATATGTGTAGAAACCCCCAGCTACTTGTAGGATACCTAGTTCCCAGTGGTTGTTATTTAGGGCCCTATAAAATTCACGGTCTATTTAGATCAGTTTCATGGCCAGGGGATTTAAAAACTGCTCAATTTCATCTTTTCAGCTGTTTACATATGAAATTTCAAAATGTTATAGCTGTGTGGGGGGGTCCCAACACAAAAGGTACCCAGAGAAGGCTCTGATCTCCCCTGTCTCCCTGCCCCTCACAGCTCTGCAAGGGAAAGACAATCCTGTCCCTCGTGAGTGCAGCATTTGGTTCACATGTAGGAGTCCCATGGCGGGGAAATTTGGTACCTTTCTCCACAAGTCTCCTCCAGCTCCCTCCCCAACCTGGTGGTGACTTGCAGCTAGGAGTCTCCCAACTGAAGCGCACTCAGCATCACGGGGAGATCAGTCTTTACAGAGAACGGCTTTTATGTCACGACTCTTGACCCATTATTCACTGCAGTGAAATTGTAAGTGCCCTAATTCTTATTGAAAATACTTATTATTTTTTTTAATCGTTAGTAATGTGTGTAAAATCTGCTTTGCGAGAGAGCTGATATTCTTTTTCAGGGAGGGGATCGAAAGCGTACTTCCTTTGAGTACTCGCTCATGTCCATTCCAGTAGGTGTGCGCGCGCACACCATGTGTATGATAGTCAGAGCGTTTTCCCTTAGCAGTACCTGTAGGGTTGGCTATAGAGACCACTGGAGTGGCACTCTCATGGTCGTGAATATAGGACACTCCCAATCTTCCTCCTGTTCAGTTATTTCTTACCGCCAAATGGTCATTAGAGTTACTTCCCTCTCTTGCTTTGGAAGTGGTTATTTGTTAACTAGTTGTAAATAGTTTTTAAAGTTATAATTAGTCATTACTAGAGAAGATAGATGCCTACAAGTCACCAGGGCCTGATGAAATACCTCCTCTGTCAGCTCCTTGAGTATTCTAGGATGCATCTGAGCCTCTAGCTATCATGTTTGGAAAATCATGGGAGACAGGAGCGATTCCAGAAGACTGGAAAAGGGCAAATCTAGTGCCCATTTATAAA